ACACACACACAGACACACACACACACACACACACACACACACACACACACCTACACACAGAGGAAGAAAAACTAAGCTCTGTCTAAACATTCCTTCCTTAAGCTGTTCCTGCCTACAGTGAAAGGGCTGTGAGAATATTTTTCCTACCACATGTGGGTAAGTGGCCAAAGCTGAAATAGTTCTATCATTGTTTTAGTTGTGAATAAAACAAACTCTTGACTTTGTAATGATTATTTTTGGGGAAGAATGGTAATATTTAAAAAGTAATATATGAGTGCCAGACACTTTAGATGCTTGATTGATTCTTGTGAGGAACCACAGAAAACTAATCAAAATCATCTGTTTTCAGACTGAGTCAGTCTGGGATTACAGGAACCGTTCCATAGAAGAACTGGCTTCTCAAAGATCTTAGAACAAACCATCTGCGCACTTTAAAAAAAGTGCACAGGTGTACAGTAGGCTACATTGGACAAAACTGTTCTAGAATGCAAAGGGTGGAAACACCAAATGATTGACTTAAGTTAGCAAATTAATAACTATGCATAGAATTGTTTTTGAAAACATCCCCCCCAAACATCCCCATCACAGGTTGTTACTCTGCATTACTGACAGAACAATACAAAACCAGACTAGAGAAACAGAGCACCTTCATTTACATTAGCTAACGCTGGAAGATACACCTGCAGTGTGTTTGTTGATTTCCCAGAAACCATCGAATGACCTGTTCTCATTCCTCTTCTGCACTCCAGAGTTCATCACTTCATCTCAATGTTTGCAAACTTCGCTTGACTAGTAGGTAAACTACATAGGTAAACCTGTGAATTATTTGTGTTTTACGGTACTTGTTCTCATCAGTGGAAAGTGTGTTTTAAATAAGATTTGGTTGTGTGCTGTCTGTCCATTCCTTGTTTTTGTTTCTTCTACAGCGTACGAGTGGGAACCCAAGCGCAACACATGCCGTTCATTTGGATTCTAAAACAAGGTTTTGTGGTCAACATGCTGCTGCTGCTGAAGATCTCCAGCATGTTCTGATGTCAGCCCAAGGCCTCTGAGTCTGTCAATGAAATCTGAATGTCATCAATCATTCAAAATATGTTTATAAAATTGCAGTAAAACAGACATGCACTCAACAGCTTGACTTGGAAATTTGGTTAGTCACGATCAAAATCACTGTGTCTGATTAAGAGGTTTGATTGATTCTCTCAGGAAGGCTGCTGCGGAATATCTTTCTCGTCTAAAAGTGGGAGCCTCCCTTCAGGAGCCGCAATTAATGACATGCGATTGTTTGAGCTGCGGCCTTTCCCATCCTCACAGCACAGAGAGAGGAAACAGGAAAAAGGAACTTCAACTCCCTGTTTCTGGACGGCAGACGAGAGGGTGGAGACACTGGGACGAAAAGAAAGGGAGAGTTCATTTATGTCCGAATCGAGGGATGTGTGCGGACTGGTTTTTCTGACAGACCGTCAGAAGATCTTCTCTGTGGATGTGGACGAAGCGGCCGGCGTCGGCTGTACTCCGCGGGGACCATGAGGCACCTGTCCTCCATCACGCTGTGTCTGATTGGCTGCTTGATCACAGGTAACACTGTGTTTTCATTCGCTGTTTCTCTGCTTCGTGGGGCGCTTGAGGCATCTGTGGTTTGTCTGTATTTGTTGTTTTTGTGGTTCTGACGCACATGAAGGAGCTTTAAGATGAAACAGACCTATGTAACAAAAGCCAAAACTTCTGATAAAATCCAAAATTATTTTGCATTATGGTTCACTTATTATGCCATTATGTGTCACTTAATATATCCAGGACAGATAATTATGGAGGTGATACTTTGTTTAAAAGTTTTTAAATTCTCTTTTTTTAATTAGAAATTATTATACTTTGTTGAAATTAATCATATATTATTTTAGTAAGTTTGATGCTTTGACATGGGTGCTCTTAACCCCAAAAACATGTGTGTGTGTGTGTGTGTGTGTTTACCTGGTGTTCCCTACATTATGGGCTCCAAATGTCCCCACAAGGAAAGTAATACCTGTAAATTTTTACCTTGTGGGAATTTTTTTAGGTCCCCATGAGAAAAAAAAACGTATAAATCACAGAATTAAGTGATTTGAGAATCTAAAATGCCTGTAGTTTTTGTTTTGTGGGTTTAGGTGTAGGTTCAGGCAAAGAGGATAGAAAATACAGTTTGTACATTAGAAAAAGCATTATTAGAATGAACCCATTAAGCATGGAAACCTGTGTGTGTGTGTGTGTGTGTGTGTGTGTGTGTGTGTGTGTGTTGTAACCACCTACAATACATTTTTGCTGTTTCTTGTGCTATACATGGCCCGTGTCCAATCATAATAAACATAATCTATTGTGTTGAGTTTCTGTATAAGAACCCAGAGCCTTGTCATGATACTACAAAAGTGCACAGTGGACAGTATAATGATTTAGTACTCCTCCTGTTTCAATAAATAAACAAGAATAATGCAAGTTTAATTCTGTAATCCTCTTAAAGCAGGAGCTTGAGTTTCATTCTGACCTTCCTCCCCTCGTCTCTTAACTCACAGATCCACACCCCGCTTCATTCTGCCAACTCTTCACTCCCCTTTGGGCAAAAATACTCCCATCACCAGCAAGCAGAACATATTAAACAATGCAAGAGAGTGAGCCCGACCCGACACACGAGGCATTTATGAGGAACATGCTTACAAAATTAGCATGAAAAGATTTATGCAGTTTCTTTCTGCTGATGGTGGCAGAGAATATGAAACTGATCAATTACAATTAGAGCTGCACACCTTCAATTATTTATCCTTAAATATGACGCAGTGATGAAGTGGGACTGCTGTGTGTGTAGCTGAATGATATGATATCAGACGTGTGTGTTTGTACTACTACACCCAACAATAAGAAACAAGTAATCATTCATCTTGACAGCTTTGTTTGGTTGTCTGTTTAAAGCCCAACACCCTTTACACACACACACACACACATTTTCTCCCTCTCTCTCTCTCTCTCTCTCTCTCAGTTCAATTCAATTCAATTCAATTAAGCTTTATTAGCATGACTGTGTAACACTATGTTTCCAAAGCATTAACATATATATATAACAACAACATAAATAATAATAAATAAAATCCATCTAAATAAATGAAAAGATAAAGTAAGTCAGTATGGAGTTAATCATGTTTAACATCTAACATTGTGAATGGTTAATACATATTTTGCAGCTAGTGCAGCTGTGTTGTCATCTTCTCCAAGTAAAAAGGGCATTTTCTCAGTATCACTAAGTTCAGTAAATGATGGGATCAGGGCTTCAAATCTGGGGAGAAATGTTCCCCTCACATTGTGATATTTAGGACAATCTCTCTCTCTCTCTCTCTCTCTCTCTCTCTCACACACACACACACACACACACACACACACATACACACACTTATAGTAGTGTGTATCGGTGAGCAACATCCATATGCAAGATCTCATCCACACACCCAGTGCATGATTTTTCACATACATACATACATACATACAGTGACAACTGCAGGGAGAGGATTTCAAAACCCTTCTCAAGCAGAAATCACTCTCTTACACCATTATTATTAGTCAGCAGTGAGTTCAGTGGACCGCGCTTACTGTATGTCTGTAAAGTTTTAAAGGGGTCATATGATGCGATTTCAAGTTTTCCTTTCTCTTTGGAGTGTTACAAGCTCTTGGTGCATAAAGAAGATCTGTAAAGTTGCAAAGACTAAAGTCTCAAATCCAAAGAGATATTCTTTATAAAAGTTAAGAGTCAACCACGCCCTCCTAAAACGCCTAATTTAAACACGCCCCCACATCTACGTCACGATGTGGGAAGATTTGCATAACGCCGCCCAAATGTTCATGCAAAGAAAGAAGGCGTAACTTTTATTCTCCGCCATGTTGTAGAGTCGCTGTGTGTTTCGTTGTGAAAGTGAAACTACTTTGTTTGGCCTTCCAAAAGAGGACACGACTAGAAATCAGTGGTTAAGTTGTATTTACTGTAATCTGTATTGTTAAAAGCGCTATATAAATAAAGGTGACTTAACTTGACTTGATTGGAGATGTTGCTGTGTCACCAGAAGAGCTCATTGAGGAGGTTCATTCTGCAGGACAGTCCTAAGCCAGAATGGCTCTTTGATTCACTAAATAATGATGATTCCTGTTATGTTTCCGCAGGCAGAGCTCTTGACATCTCAGACGTGACTCTGATTAATCCGGACCCGGTCGTGTCCTCGGTGAACTTGCCATCTCTCCGGTGTGTGAGCAGTGACTGGACCGTTTCTGGCACCGGATCGCTGAGTTTGGGCCACGAGTATCCTGATCAGGAAGCTCATGTCCTGAGCACTGAACCGGACAGAAGCCACCACTCTGCCGCTAAAATCACCTGGATGTCCCGCAATCACACCTTTGGAGCTTTTTACTGCCAGCTCAAAAACTCTAGCAGGAGTAAAATCTACACCTACAAGATGCTCCATGAAGGTAATAAAACTGATATCCGAGCAGTGCTTTGACTCCTTTGAAGAGAAAGACTTGTATGTATATGCATACACTGACGGGGTTCAACTGTTTCTTTTTCCTTCAGCTGCTTTCCTCCCTGAATCTCTGACAATCACTGTTAATGAAGGCGAAGACGTTAACATCTCTTACTCGAGAAAGACATATTTACCAGAGGATACAGTCATCTATAAAAACGGTGGGAACTCAGTTTAATAAACATTTAATAAACAATATAAACAAACATCTGTGCCTTGTTTTATAGTAATCTAGTATAAGTCTCTATACAGGCACTATAAAGATTTTAAACTTTTATTATTAATTATTTGCTTCTATTTATTTTGGCTTACAGTTTCAATTTTTTTAAACTGCATTTACATGTGTTCAGTATTTACCACATAATCCTTGTTTTTCTGGCAAAACATCAAGAATATCAGTAACATTATAGTTTTTGTTGTTCTAGCGGTTGTTGTTTTTTTGTTGTTTTGTTTTTCAGGAAATTTTGAACACTCGTCACCCAAAGAGGACATCATGGATGTAATTAATTACCCAATAATCAATGCAAAAGCCCAAAGTCATGCTGGTATATATGCGATCCGTTACATTTCTGAAGCTCCATTCAGCTCAGCAATAACCCGACTGATCGTCAGGAGTAAGTCCTTCACTTCATGGTCTCTTACCAAACACTATCACTCTCGGTAAAGTGTCTGGTAATGTGTAAAATCTATGCACTTGATGTTTAAATCACAAGTGTCATGATCGTAAAGATTAATAACTCTTCACCTCTCTGCAAGTTGCACTATAAATATTTCACTACTGGCCATTAAGTTGGTTAATTGCTCATTCAGTGATTCGTGGATTTGTGAGTCCTGATACATTTGTCTGGACTCTCTAGAACGATTAGGCTGCTTAAAACTGTTTGCTGGATGTGCATCTGCATCTCTCACTGTATCATGTTCATGCTATCTTAAGAGTGTTCACTGAATGTCTTGATTTATTTATTGACAAATATGTGATGAATAAACACAATGAATCATTCCACTGACCTGAACGCAATAATTCTTTATGAAGAGATTATTAAAGATTGTTAAAGAAGTCTGCATTCAGTCTTATGGTTTATTCAGTGATCTGCTGGTGTCTGAAGAATAAAAACACGTTATATTGACTTCAAACACACTTCTGATCTGTTCTATACACGTCTTTTTAGTGATTTGCTCATCTATAATAATGGTTTTGAATTATATATACTTTTTTCTGCAAATATGAATGTTAAAATATTAGTTAAAGAAGCGTATGTGTTTTCAGCAGAATAAGGGCTTCTGTTGAGTAATGGTCAGTTGTTGTGTGGTTAACAGGTTGTAAGGCTGGTTTATGGGGAGCAGATTGCATGAAATCGTGTCTGTCCTGTGCTAACGGAGGCGTGTGTGATGATGTGACGGGTGAATGCATCTGCCCTCCGGGGTTTAAAGGGCCCACCTGTGAAACAGGTAACAATCTTTACTCAAATACTCAATGGTCATGTGTATTACAGGGGCCATGTTTAGCTTTACAGTTTTTCTCAATTGCTAACACACTATAACTCATTCGTTTGGCACAATTTTTTTTTAAAACAAAGACACGTTTCTCAAAACTTTTAACACATTTCACCTGTTTTCACACACGCTCCAATTTGCTCAGTGTTTTCAGCTAAACTCTACACAAGAACGGCATCATTTTGCACAGGTTTAACCATGTTCTCATTTAGAAAACACAAACTCACAATATAACTACCTCAATAATCACAAAATTAACACAAATAGCACACATTTATCCCTGTGTGAACATTGAGTAGCAAACCTGATGACACAGCAGAATCTCAGGATGATATAAAAAGGAGCACAGGTGATTATGTGATTTGGAAAATGAATCCTACTAGTGGGAGACAAAGAGGAAGAGGAGGGGAAAAGAAAACTGAAGGGGACGGGGTCAAAGGACATTTATTCCTGATGAAATACACAGCGCTGTAGTTGATCATGTTCTTGTGCATGAGGACAGCTGGCCTAGAGGCTCATCTACAGGCTTTCAGTACTACTTACAGATCAAATATAATGACAGAACAGTAGCAGAACTTCAGATGAGAGAACTTTTACTTTTTATATAAATGTACAGTAAATACTGAAGAACAAGTTGTACCCTCAAACTCATAACTGCTGAACTGATTTGTAGCCAAGTACAGTACTTCTTACATGTACTGTATTTTTGCAGAACTGAGAGATGACGGAGAGATATATTCTGTTGTGTTCATATGCAATTCTTTGGTATTTGACCTTTTCCTTTCTACTGTACTGTAAGATCTATTTACAGCAGTGTAATGAAAATAATATTTTCTTACTGTAAAGCTTATTGTTGAATTTCACTGTATCTGCTATATTTACTATAACATGTATCTGCTCTAATTATGTTGTATACTGTAAGAGACATTGAGCTGTAAAATGATACCTGATTGCCAAAAGAAGGTTTTTGCAACATTGTTATGAATTGATCTCATTAGTGTGTAAGACTATGTTGTTGTGTGTGTGTTTCTGAGGGCTTGTGTGTCATGTCTGAGGAAGAATTACTTTTTTTTAAGCAAGATTGAATAGTTTTGAGTGGAGAGCTTCATTTTGACCTGAAAATAGGAAGTATGGGGAATTGGGTGAGAAGTTATGGATTTGTGTTTAGAGTTTCGAGAAAAGGAGTCACAATTTCAAGAAACGTGTTTAAGCAATCGAGAAAAACAGTAATATTCACATGATCGGTTTATGAATCAGACCCTATTTTGACAGGTTTTTAGGGCTCATTTCATGAAGAGTCAATATATTATATATGATCAATATATGATGGGTCAATGGCGCTTATTCAGAGTTTAAACATGAGGAGGAAGTAGGACATGTTTATATTTAGTGTTAGGCTGCTGTGTTGTGTGTAGTGTGTGTGGTGTTGTGTATTTGATGTGTGTTGTGTTTGGTGTGTTGTGTTTGATGTGTGTGTTGTGTATTTGATGTGTGTTGTGTGTGTGTGTAGTGTCTGTTGTGTTGTGTGTGTAGTGTTTGGTGTGTGTTGTGTATTTGATGTGTGTTGTGTGTGTTGTGTTGTGTTGTGTTTGTGTGTGTTGTGTTGTGTTGTGTTGTGTTGTGTTGTGTTGTGTTGTGTTGTGCTGTGTGTGTTGTGTAGTATGTGTTATGTTGTGTGTGAAGTGTGTGTTGTGTTGTGTGTGTAGTGTGTGTTGTGTTGTGTTGTGTTGCGTATTTGATGTGTGTTGTCTTGTGTGTGTTGTGTTTGGTGTGTTGTGTATTTGATGTGTGTTGTGTTGTGTGTGTAGTGTGTGTGTGTGTGTGTGTGTGTGTGCGTAGTGTGTTGTGTTGTGTGTGTTTTGTTTGGTGTGTTGTGTATTTGATGTGTGATTGTGTTGTGTTGTGTGTGTAGTGTGCGGTGAGGGCCGCTTCGGCCGGAGCTGTAAGGAGCGCTGTGTGGATGGAGTCTGTCGTTCTCTGCTCTTCTGTCTCAGAGACCCGTACGGCTGCTCCTGCGCGTCTGGATGGAGGGGCTTTAACTGCAGCGAGGGTGAGAGGAATTCCAGTTTAACACGCGGGAGGACGCTCAATTTAATATTCCTCATTTTACTGTGTCTAAATGCTAGTAATAATAGTATTACTGTGAACTAGTTTTGCTGAAGGTGTTCTGAATTGTGTGCAATGAAAATAAAAACTTTACAAACATTTTGTTCAAATATTACTTGTTACTCTTTTCATTTGGATTTTGTGATTCCAGCCTGTCCGGCCGGTTATTATGGCGCCGACTGTAAACAGAAGTGTGAGTGTGAACAGAGCAAATGCAGTCGCTTCAGAGGATGTGTGTGTGAAGGCAGGCACGGAGCTCGCTGTCAGAAACCAGGTGAAAATCATTGATTTCAAAGAAACCGTCCTGTGTTTCTGGGAGATCTCTGGGCTGAATCCTTGTCTGCTTGTGATTTCTTTGAAAGACACGAGACCTGTTATCGTGAGCAGTCTGAGAGACATCGAGCTCAACTCAGGCATCACATACACAGTCAACTGCTCTGCGTCAGGCCAGCCCGCTCCTTTACACGGGGAAATAACCCTGGTCAAACCGGACAAAACCACTGTCTATGTGAGTCTCGTCTCAATAACATCACTGCACCAGTTCTGCACGAGTCGCTGTGAGGTTTGATCTGCTTGAGCTGCTGCTTTGTTCATGAAATGCCTCTTCTTTCATTTTTCTCAGGCAGTGGACACACAGACGGAAAATGATCAAACGACGTCAGCATTCAGGGTGGAGAAGATCACTGTGTCGGCGGCTGGACGCTGGTCGTGTCAAGTGAAAACCAAACACTATCAGGAGGAGAAAGAATTCATTGTGAATGTCAAAGGTGAGATTCTTCAAAGTTCCCGAAGGTCTGTCTCTATTTTCCTCCCAGCAAAAGTCCCAAACAATCACAACATACAGTGTTTCAGGAGCCAAAAATGCTGTAGCGTTATGAAATCAGCAATGTCCATAGTGGGAATATTGACTGTAAATATTTACAATAAAACCTTGTAAAAGTATGAAGAAAAAATTAGCAGACAAAATAGCCTCTCCAAGATTGTTTGCCTATAGAATCACAAAAAATATTAAACTGAGAAAGGGCTTTATGCTTTGTTCAAGTCCCCCTGGGACGTTTGTTGATAACTCGTCAGTATGACATCAGGTGCGTTCAAGTCACTTTGGTTGGAACAAGATGGCAATTTACCTTTTCTACATAAAATTCAACGATTGTATTAACTCTACATCTACTAAATAATGAATAAAGAATGTGCACCATTGTGTTTTCGCTTTTTCCTGTTTTTATTCAATTTATGAAGGTGATGTAAACTGAACCATTTTATGAAGAGTTTTTCTAATAAGAAAATTTGAAGAGTGTGGTTCCAAAACGCCATAAACGCCATTTTTTAAAAAGTTGAGTTTCCGCCAAAATCAGTATTATATCTGGTCGGTATTGAAAAGTCAATTTTTAATTTTACGCAAAATGCGATATCCGCCATGATATTCTGTCATGTTTTTTCCCTATCTTTCCAAACTGTGACAAACGCAAGTCTTCCTTTTCTGGAGAATGCGATACATCCGCTCAACCAATCACGGCGCACCATTCCACGCATTGTAAACAGTAACTGACAAGCTACACAGATGAATCGCCTTCGATTATGAATGCGATATTGCGTAGCTTGTCAGTGATCTACGGCTCTGTGTAATGCCGCTCCATCTGAAAGCACATGATGGAGATTTGCTACTAATCACAGAACCAGCTTTACTGACGAGATGCGCATGACAATCACATGCAATTTATTGTGCAGCCCTAAAAAAAATGTTGACGCCATTGATGAACCTGTGGTGGTTTCTGCAGTGGGAAAGAAACGTAAGCTATTAATAAGATTAGTATTGACCAAGTTCAGAGGCTGTTATATGTGGATCAACTTACTTTGCTGTGTATTAACAACAGTTTCAATATGAAAAATAACTTTTCTATTGATTCAATGGAGTTATTGCATTTTGGGGGGGAAAAAAATCTGTTTTTATAATAAATCTTTGAAAACCAAAATCTGGATTTTAATTTTTAATGTTATTATAACCTAAAGATGCTATGTGAAAGTTTGAAACAGAAAATAGTGGTTTTCATCTCGCCACTTTCTTGGTAAAGAAAACACATTTTTACTCAAATTAATCAAAATGGATTTATAGCGTTTTGGAACCAAATCTTCATATATTCTATGGTAATTATACAATAATATAATATTTGTATATGTAACTTAAATAGTTTTATTGTACATTACAAAAAATAATCATTTTATTAATTTCAACAAATTTACCGTCAATACAGATGCTGCATATCTATAGTCTTTGGCTGCATGCGTCCATTGCATCCAACACGTTTTTTCACTGACATGCCCCCAATTTGGAAACTCAGGACTTAAAGAAAATTTCGAGTTTCCCACTCATAATAACGACTTTGTGGCTACGTTCATGTGCGTTCAACTCGTAAATACAATGTATCCGACTTTCTGACTGGAAGACCTCAGGCAGTTCGGGTCGGCAGCAACACATCCAGCACCATCACACTGAACACTGGGGCCCCCCAAGGATGTGTGCTGAGCCCCCTCCTCTTCACTCTGCTGACCCACGACTGCACACCGTCACACAACTCCAACCTCTTCATTAAGTTTGCGGATGACACGACTGTAGTGGGTCTCATTAGCAACAGAGATGAGACAAACTATAGGAGCGAGGTGATCCGCCTGGCCGGGTGGTGCAGTGACAACAATCTCTCTCTGAATGTGGAGAAGACGAAGGAGATTGTTGTTGACTTCAGGAGAGTGCGCACTCAGCATGCTCCTCTGTCCGTCAATGGTGTGACTGTGGAGAGGGTGAGCAGCACCAAGTTCCTGGGTGTGCACATCACAGAGGATCTCTCCTGGGCTGACAACACCACAGCACTGGCCAAGAAAGCACAGCAGCGTCT